GGAAAAGAAAACGTGATCCAAGTTTCCATGGTCAAAGTGGACAGCTCATTTGGTTTGCAATTTACAAATTAAATAAATAAAAGCTTATGGCACAAGCATGCATTATGCAAGATAACAACAGTATTTAATTGTTTAATTATCTTATTATTATTCTTCCATCCTAATTAAAATAATTACTATCTTTTTTTTAAATTAAAATTTTAAAAATAATATTTATATTTATTTATAATACTTTGAAAAAAGTAAAAAATAAAAAGAGATATTTTGTGAGGGAATGATTAATTAAAGTAAAAGAGTAATGATAGGGTTTAAGTAAAAGAATATTTATTCATCTTGAAAAATAAAAAATAAAAAAATAATAATTAATTTACGATAAATTAAAAATTAAAAAAATAAAAGTTATTTTAAAATAGAAAGAATGAGTGTTTGTCTAATCTATATTTTAAGAATATATTAATTATATTTTTTCATTAATATGTAAAAAAATATAAAAATTAAGAGTATATTAATTATTTTTTTGAATTTATATAAAAAATTTACATATTTTATTTTATGTTTAAAACTGACAATACATACATTATCTTAATTAAATGAGTGATACAATTAAAATTCAATTTTAATTTTTTATAATAATTAATGAAAAAAAATACAATTAATTTACCTTACTTTGTATCTCAACTCTCAAGGACAGATATTTAAATTAATCACTGCATCTGACTTAATCTTTGTAAATTTTATTACAATAGTTTAAATTTTATTGCAAAGATTATTTAGTTACATGACTACCCGTCAAGTTCTTAGGTGAGAAAACAAGAAAACGTGTCGTGGGACCCATTAATGGAATTCCAGTGAGTCAGAGAACAAAATAAACATGCGTTCAATTTCTGCATGTAGCTTTATTCAATATTGAATGTCTTTTGAATTTTTCTTACCTTGTTATTTACTGGAAACACTCTTCAACTTAAACTCTGACTTTATTTCTTTCTTAACCGGCCTACGAAACAAAGATTATTAAATGAAAGGATAGTTTTATGATATTAAGACCTTTTCTAATTTAAATGTTCTTACTTTGAAATTTAATATAATTTAAATTATAAAATATAAAATTTATTTTTTATTAATTATACTATCATATTTTATATAATATGATGTGGGAATACACAGATAAGTGGATTTATGCATAGTTTTCTAAATAAAAATAATTAGTCATAAACCAGTAATTGTACTTGTTAAAAAAAATGATAATGCAAAATGTCATAGCATAACACAAATTGGTTGTCTAAAATTGTCTCACGATGTTAGTCCTTTTTTTATAAAGTAAAATCTTAGCCCTATTCTCGGATACTCCCATTCACTTGTTTGAGTCTATAGATTTCTTATGTTGGCAAACGTTTGAATGTGTAGATATCTATTGGTTTGGTATTAAATGCCATTCCTTTTACAAGAACATTCTATTATAGCAGAAAAAGAATAAAATCCCTTGGGAGAAATTTTTTCAGATTGAATTTGGTAAATCCATGCATTTAAAAGTATTTTTGTCATTTTAAAAATGAAAGCGAATTCCCTTTTGTTTTTTATGTGGTAGGTGATTTCCCAATGTAATAATATGGATGCCAGTTGCCAAGCCTTTGCTATCATCGAATATGTATTTTCCCTTTTTCCCCACCCACAAAGCTTTAGCATCCCTTTTTTTTTAAAAAAAATATTTCCCCATTTTTGTTAGTTGTCAAGATTACATACCATAGACAGTGATTTCGAAATGGCAAAATAGAATAATCTAATCCCCTACCTCACTCCCCACATGGATTTGCCTAAACTGCCAAAACACCTTTACCATAAGGAGGAACATTCTTTTTGGCCCATACCATCATAATAAAATACTATTCCTTATGTTTTAATTTTTTTTTTTAAATAATTGTCATGGGATCGGATTGAACCGTTGCCCGAGACGAAAGAAGGAAGGTAAACCTTTACAAAAACACCGGATGTCACTCGACCCGATGGGTCAAGTTCATTCCTTATGTTTTAATTTAGTTGTCACATTTTTTAAAAAGATAAATTTTAATTTACTTGCTATGAATAGGATGGAGTAATCCATGCTAAGAATTAACGAAAATGCCCACAATGCCATGAGTTTGACAGTTTAAACTGTTCGAGCATTTTAGTCATTTCAACTCAAGACTAACATATTATTTTACTATACTGAAAATTTCTGAAAAGGAAATGAATTCAATGGCAATCAAATGAACGGATCAAAAATAGCTTCTTTGTGGTTATTTATCTGAGCATGAAGTAAAAATTCTCAGTCCCCATTGTAGTATACACCCATTCTCCTATCAATTTTTCTCCAACTCCAAGGGGAAAAAAAAATAAGGTCCCTATAATCAGTGTTCAAAATGTAAGAAAAACATTGCAAAGGATGTTTCAACGTGTTCCTGAGCATCGCCTTATGTGGCACTGATCTCTTTGCACAAGTTTTATTGTTGATCTCTTATGCAGGGTCAGTCGCACCAAGAGTTGCTTCTGCTAACATTTGAAAATAGAAGAAACTTGGAAGCCTATCTACATCGACCCTACAGAAACAAGTGAACTATCTTCTTCCATTTGCCCAATACCGGTTATAGTTCGCATGTCTCATGTGTGAATTTTTGTGACCGAGGCCCTGCTTAGGGAGATCATGCAAGTCCATGACCTGAATTGTCCGCTGCTTCTTAGCTGTTAAACGGACATATATTTGGTTGTCAGAGAAGTTAAACAATTTAGCATGTAATTCAACAAAATGCCAACGTTAGCATTGACTGAATTCAGATTGAAAGAGACAAACCATTCTCAGCCTGCTGATAACGTTCTTGAAGTTTCCTTTTTGTGGCTTCCAGCTTCCTTTGGACAGCAACTTCATCCGAACACTTTAATTTCTAATTGAAGAACCAGGGTGATTAGATAAAAGTTTTTTTGATGCTGTGAGTGCAAGAAATAGAACATTTAAAAATGTACTCACTTCTTGTTGACCAGAGAGAGGCTTCTTTTGGACGGCCATCTTATCTGATTTTTGCTGCAACTTTGATTCCTTCATGGTCCTTTTCTCTGCACTTTGTGTTGGAGGTTTCCCAGGCCTCAAATCAGCATTTAAGGGCTTGTTATTAGACTTCAGAATGGTTTCTTGTTTTTTCGTTTGTTGAATTCTGTTCTCTCTAGCTACCATATTTGACTGTTTAGGAGTTTGCTGTTTCCGCTTCATAACATTTTGGTTTTTTTTTGACGGTCTTCTAGCATCATCTCGGTTCTTGATGAATTCCCCACTGTTTTGAGGATCTGAAAGAACATGCGCCATTCATAATCATGAATCTAAGAAGTGGGGAATTCAAATAAAGAACCAAAGAGCAAAAGCTGCATGAGAGAACAATAAGAGATGGGAAATTCAACTCACTTCCATCATCATCCATGCAATCAAAAAACTGCACCACATTGCAGCAACGCAAAACCAAGAGAGATAAAACCCAGTCAATATCATATGAGATAAATTTTGTTGCAAACTACATGAGCAAAAGAATAGAAAAAAAAGATGCAAGACCTGTTCAAACTCTATTAATGTGGGTTGAGTAGCAAAGAAAACCCCTTCATCCAATGGCGGAGATGGAAGCCCTTCTTCTTCTTCTTCTTCTTCTTCTTCTTCTTCAACAACAGATGGATTTACCGACTCTGGAGTACCTTCTGCAGCCATTAGTTTGCCAATACTTAAAACCAGGAAAAATCATTATACATTTCTATTTATTCTAAAACAGCAGCAAACAAGATCTTGCCTGCAATGGCCTTTGTAGCATTAACCCACTCATCCACTAATTCCTTCCACACACTGCAATCCAAAACAGAGTTAGATCATGCACTATAACACTTCAGATGTATGGCTGATCATTAACATAAACAAAAGAATAGAGTCCTAAGAGGCATCAGCAATAGAAATGTTCTCCACTGATGAACTCATTTGAAGCAGACAGCAACCATGAAGCATGCAATGATGCAACTATCTAAGCATCTATATACTTGACAAATTGAAGAGGAGTATAAGCAAAAGATGAAACATGAAAGATTGGGGGAGAAGTACTAATAAGATAGAAACTACAGAGATCCAAATTGATCAGTTAAGATGTGTAATCAACAATAAACCCCAAATTGATCCAATCAAAACAGTCAGCGAAGTAGGGATCTACATGCATATGATATCACGCATGAAAAGACAATTGTTAAAAGAGTTCTTATAACACACTGAAGCACATTTAGGACACAGAAATACGCTGTTTATGCAAGCATGAACTTGATACTCAAATCCCAGTGATCAAACAACTCATAAAAATTGCAATAAAACAACAAGAAATGAAGACATACGTTATCAGAGTCTGCGCTAGAAGCCGAATCTGGTTTGATCCATGTTTTCTAATACTATTAACAGCCTTCCCAATTCCAGTTGCCTGAAAGATACATAAATACTATTAGTCCAAACAAGTTCTGTAAAGGACCTTAAACCATAACTTTCAGACAAATGGCAAGCAATTGCCCATACCTTAAGAGTATCTACAGTTAAATCCATCAATTGAAGCCTCGTTAAGGATTCAAACAACACTGAATCAGTCTGCAGAAACATCAATCATGAACAACCCATCAAAAAAGATGATCCAGAAAACAAAATTCATAAAGAAGATGATAATTTCTGTAGAAAAAAACCTCATCTTGACTGTTCTCAAGAATCTCCTTGATCCTCAAAACCTCCTCAGTAATCTGGGATTCCTCCTCAATCTCATCAGTCAATGCCTCAGCAATCAGATAGCTATAATTACTAGCAATCTGATTCATGTTCATCTCTAGATGATCATCTCTACAGCTATTAACCTTGCTTTCTTTGCTACCACCGACCTCAAACTCGCATCCCTGATCATCTTCTCCGTCAAACCCACTCTTACAACCTCTGTCGTTATCATCATCATATTCCGGCACCGCCAACTCCACTCGGTCGCAGCCGGAGCACCGCCTCAATCTGCAAGTGAAGAGCTTCTCAGCTATTCGATCTCTCCTCAATCTGAACTCCTTGGGGCAATCCAGAGCTGCCACCAGGATCGCATGATCGATTATATCGAAAATGTCCGAGTTTGCCGTCCGGAAATAGTCCCGCCAGTGATCTAGTGACACAGGTTTCATCGCCATCGCCGGGGAATCTCAACGGCAGTACCCAATTCCCGATTTCCGGCGTGATTCAGAACAAAAACCCAGATTCTAACAAACACCCAGAAACTGGATTTCTGTTATTCATATATAAACAAAACGCTCTTCGCGTAACTCTTTTTCTATGAAAAAAGACGACCAAACTTCCGGCTCCGAACAGTAAATTCCGATGAAAACTTCACCGGCTTTCCTTCTTTTTTATTTTTTTTTTCCCCTGTTTTGGGATGATAACGATGAGCAAGTGGATTACAATACAAACAAAAAAATAAAACAACAATCTAACGCAGAGACAAACAGCTTTGGCTGTTTGTTTTCTCAGAATCTGAAGGAAAAAAAAAAAAAGGCTTTCCAGGAAAATAACAACCCCGGGGTTTCCTAGATAAACCCAATATTTCAAAGTGAAGGAAGAGTAAATTGCAAAAACCAGGAGCTGCAGAAGGGCAGAGACATTGACGTTCTGAAACCGCTCTCTTTTTGGTTTTTCCTCTCAGAAAACAGAGAGAAAGGAGTTTCGTTTGGTTAGGTTGATCTTTCTAATTTGACAGAAATTATCATTATCTTCTTTTGACTCGATCTCTCGCATATTCTAGAGCGAGAAAATCAAAGGAAAAAGCTCTTTCTTCCTCCGGTTTTCCTTTTTTTTTTTTCAATAACCTTCTTCCCTTTTACATTGAACTCGAATAATTTGACAATGAGCAATGCTAGGGGCACTCGCCTCCTGCACTCTCCGGCCAGCACTTTCTCTTTTATTGGGCCACGTTATTTTGAT